GCAAAATTTCCCGATCCTGAGTGGTTTTATGTTTTCCGCGCTTACTGTTTCGTTCTTCCCTTCGCCTGCACGCAGTTTAATCTTTCCCGCGCTCACCACAATTTCAAAGTTTCCTGGCGCTAAATAAATCAACAGCTGTATGATAGACAATGTAGCAAGCTTACTTTCCCCTCCCTAGTCAGTCACAATGTGTCACGTGACTAAGCACATAGAATAAAAACACTTGAAGTTGTCAGCCATCTTTGAATATGTTCTTACAAGCTGTATCAGTCCATAGCAATCCCATCATTCCCCGCGTGCGCCGTCGTGACACGCGCACGATTTCCCACAGTTTTGCTTGGCCAATCATTCAGCTCAACACCAACCTTCTTACTTTTTATACGCATGCTCATTTGAATTTACTGCCATGGCAGAAAATCACCCGTCATGAATAAATTCTCTCTGCAAGGATCTGAGAAACCAACTTAGGAAACTCAGAGTCGTAACCGCTTAATGTTTTGTTGATGTGTTATCTGAAGCAGCAGAGTTAGAAAATCGAAATTGAAACACAAAACACTCTCAATAACATTTTATTCTTGTTACTTTTGATTTTAAATTGTCTCCCAATAAAATATCTATTTTCTTCTCACTGGGAAAGAGTCATCGCCGTAAAAACTGTTAAAACTTATCGGGGGCAAGTTCGCTAACTGAATCAAGCTCTACCTACGACAGCCGGGAAATATTTAAACTGTTGTGGAATTCATATCTTGATAAGTGGCCTCAAGCGTTGAGAGCGTGCCGTTTGAGGTTTACAAAAATCTGCTGTTATTCTTGCAAAATAGATTTTAAGGGAGCAGAATTGTTCATTGATTTCGGATTAAGAAAATTCTTCGTCATTGAAATATGACGTCATCAGTAAATGCACCCGCAAGTCTGAAATCGTCATTGGTCAGTACACAGTACATTCTTTGAGGACATGGGCGAGACGAGGGGCGGGGACGGGGAATTGTTGTTCTCAAAATGTACTCCCGACCGGTGGGGGGTGGGAAGTCTTGAGCTGGTGGGGCTGGTTGCCGCTGTTGACAAAGATAAAGTAAATATTAGGGAAATCATTCGGATAAAGTTGTAGTTGAAAAAATAATTGTGGTGCATGCCCCCCTAAAACGTCATCCCATTGAGCAAAAATACTACTTTTCGCTTTATTCTATGAACTTACCGAAAGATTTGAAGAGGTATCTTCGTCCACAGCAAACTGCATTCTCGCGGTCTACGAAAGTCAAAAGAAGAGTTACTTTCATAAGCAAACATAATAAATAATCAATTTAAAACACTTTTGTGTAAATTATCGACATGTTGCTCTCGTCTACCTAGTCTGCCACGACACAAACCTCTTGTTTGGCGAACAATCTGTGAATAACTCTTCCAGCGGGGCCTCTTCCTGCGCCAATTACAGCTACTTCAGGTTTCTCTGTCAAAGCCGAAAGGAACTGTTCCACGTCCTTGTCTCCATGATACCTATCTTGTTCCGACAGCGCGTCACGAAATTTAAATCGCAGGGAGTGGGCACGAGTGATGGCGAGTTCTGACAACTGCAACTGTTTGACAAATTCCTGTAATTGATTAAAGTGGAA